CCTAGAAGCCACAAATAAAAGAAAAAAAAACATTATTATATTAGACGAGTACATCAGAGAGTGTTTTCTATTTCGGGAAATTTTGTGAGTAAACAACGGACACATCTAAGTAACAAATCGAAGACGTTCAGAGTTTTAATAACATTTTATCAGACAAAAAACTAATTAAAATTTTAAAAATTTTTAATGAAAATTGCCCGGAATAGAAAATACTCGGTGTTTAGCTTAATTGTTTCTAAAACTAAAATTTATATTGACAGGCATGTATCAACATGTATCTATTTTTAACTTCCCGAAGGAGAAGTTTATGTTTTCATCAAAAAATCCGAATCGCTAATTTTATGTTTTCTCGACGTTTCGAGCCATTCTGAATCGAATGAGACCAAATTTGGAAAAAGTATGTGTGTGTGTGTGTGTGTGTGTGTGTATGTGTGTGTGTGTGTGTGTGTGAACAGATTTTTTGCCGTAAATCGACGTTTTCTCCAAAACGGTTGGACCGATTTCAAAAATTTAAAAGCCATTTGATGTATCTCGATGAGGACTATCGTCTCTGAGTTTTGTGCGGCGATCGGCCGGGCCGTTTCTTTGTAAATTGCAGAAAAGTGAAAAATTTTTCGTCCACGTTTTAGCCCGCAATTCTGAATCGATTCTGAAAATTCAAAAACCGTTCGATAGATATTGGTTGGGAATCGTGCTGATTAGTTTTTGGTAAAGATCGGCCGGGCCGTTTTCTTGTAATAAAGTTTTTAAAAAAAAAATTTTGACGATTTTTATGATTATTTTTTTGACGATAGATACCATAGTCTTCTAGGTCATACTAAAATATTACGGTCCTACGACAACTGGTTCAGCTTTAAGAATTCGTCAAAGTTTGCAAAAATCAGTATGGTCTTTTTGGCATTTGTCAAAATTAGACTTTTGATCGACGTTTTCTCAAAAACGCCTGAACCGATTTTAGAAATTTAAAAGCCATTTGATGTATTTCGGTGAGGACTATCGTTTGTCAGGTTTGTGCAACGATCTGCCAAGCCGTTTCTTCGTAATTTGAAAAAAAGTGTTGAACTTTTCGTCCACATTTAAGCTCATCCTACCGAACCGATTTTAAAAAATCAAAAACTGTTCGAAAGATATTAGATGGGAATGATGCTGATTAATTTTGGGTGAAAATCTACCGAGCCGTTTTCTTGTAATTAACTGTTGAAAAAAAGTGTTAAATTTTCGTCCACATTTAAGCTCATCCTACCGAACCGATTTTAAAAAATCAAAAACTGTTCGAAAGATATTAATTGGGAATGATGCTGATTAATTTTAGGTGAAAATCTACCGAGCCGTTTTCTTGTAATTAAATGTTGAAAAAAAGTGTTAAATTTTCGTCCACATTTAAGATCATCCTACCGAACCGATTTTAAAAAATCAAAAACTATTCGAAAGATATTAGTTGGGAATGATGCTGATTAATTTTATGTGAAAATCTACCGAGCCGTTTTCTTGTAATGAACTGTTGAAAAAAAAATTGAAGCCGATTTTCATGGAACTTTTTTTGGCGATATACATCATGGTCTTATAGAACTTACTGTAATGCTACGGCCTTACAACAAGTAGTTTAATTTTAAAAATTCGTCAAACTTTGCTAAAATTATTATCGTTTTTTTTTAAAGTAGGATTGATGAAGTATATTATTTACACATATTTTTGATCAAGTCGATTATTTACACATATCGGGAAGTTCATGTAATTTGCCTCAAGGCTAAATACCAAACCAACTAGTTTTTTTTTGTTTTTCATTTAAAAATGTATTATTTTTATTTGGATGGATTTAAAATCATTGTAAATAATTCTTGAAGAAGGATATGAAATGTGTTTACGAAACATATACAAACGGCAAATGAAAGTTAAAAAAAATAGTATTAGAAATATAATAAGTTTTGGTACAGAAAACAGCCTAATATAATGTAATGTAATTCCAAACATTTTTGGACAAATATATAAATATAAATTTCTCATGAATTTTCGAATATCTAGTTAATTTTAAGATAAATATATAAAAAGTATCGATTTCGGCATTCTTTGTTTTTTGTGTAGACTAGTAATAGTAATAATAATTATATGTAATAGTAGATAATAAAAATTTATATCTTTATAGCCAAATAAATTGTTTAATTTTTTTCACATTATTATTTTTATTTTAAAGAGAACAGTTAAATTGGTCTCAAATGTTTCTCTGATATTTTCAAATAATTATTTTTCATTTTAAATTATAATATTATACTAGTTGTTTTACTAATATTATTATTTGTGGTAAACTCCATACCATTATGCAAGAATTGCAATAAAGGTTTGTTTTTAAAGATATGGTCATAATTATAACAATATTAAATATATTAAATTTTAATAAAAATTTATATCTTTCCCATATATATCGTCCAATTTTTATTGTGCTTCAAAAATTCCGAATTAAATATTCGTCTCTTTCAGTTGAATTGGAAAAAAATGATTATTGTGTTATTTTTTAAATTATAACTTTTTAAAATTATTTAAATAACATGTTTTTAAACTTGCTTTTAATTCAAGAATTAGTAATTAAAGTACTGTAATTTCCACAAAAACATTCCACCTGAATCATATTTTTTAAATTAAAAATTATTTTGAATGTTTATTTTCCTCAAGAGTTCAAAGGTTAATAAACCGAAAAATTTGTTCATAATAATGTATAAATGTAAATATTTTATGAATTTGTGACAAAATTCTCGTTTCAGTGGTCACAATGTTTCCACAAGGCCGTGACCCCGACTTTTTCCACAAACTCATAGCAATTAGTAAATGAGTAAACAACTAGTTTAACAAACAAATATGACCTCCAATAATAATAATAAAAATGAAATTTACCGAAGCTATTAGAGTTTGTGCTTTTCAAATAGAAAATAAAACAATTATGAACTAGTGGTGTATGGCATCGTGCCTGAAGGCAAATTGCTGGAACTTCCCGTACCAAAAATTATTATTTTTTAAATAACATTTTTGAAAAAAATTTACTTTGAAAAAATTAGATTTTTGAGAAACTATACATTTTTGATAAAAATTTACTTTTTTTGAAAAAAAAAAAAAGACTTATTGAAGAAAAATTTATTTTGAAATATTTTGGAAATTCTGAACTTTTTTCAAAGCAATCGTACTGCTTTAACTGCATAAAGACAAAATATCGAAGCGCGTAAGCGCTGCGTCGCAGTCTAACTGATAAACACTGGAATTAAGACCTTATGTTGAACTATGAATTTAACATTTTTAAAATTGCTCGACTTTGTGAGGACCTTCTTCAAAAAAAATGTACTAAAATGTGTTGGCCAGTCTCATCAAAATTTGGCGCATTTCATCAGGATTGTAAAATAGTAAAATACTTGATAGTTTCATAGTAGAAAAAATCAAGCAAAAAAATAAAAACCTAAAAATAACTGATACTGATAATAATGAACTCATACTAATTTATTTGTAAAGACATACATTTCTCAAGAATGTTTCAACCGTTCCTGATAAATAAGATAATTAACATTCCCGAAGCAACAAGAAATATGAATAATTATATAAAACATTTAGGGAAAAATGGAAGTGTTGAGCTCATAAAATTTTCAATTTAAAAATAAAATCAGGTATTTGTTGTAAAATCAACATTTGCTTTTGTTTTTTGCAACAAACTTTGTGCGTTTTTTCTTTTCCGTTGAAAACACATGTCTTCTCTTCATACATAATTTTATATTTTATGACCTGTGACATAAGCTCATATAATCTAATTATAAACGTGTAAAAACTCGTATATAAATATATATATATATATATATATATATATATATATATATATATATATATATATATGTATATATACACTCAAACAAAATTATTACGACGTTTTTTATAATACCAGATAAATCCAACATATATAAAAAACATGACTGCATACATACATACATACATACATACATACATACATATATATATATATATATATACATGTATATATATTTATATTTTTGTATGTCGTGTGGAGGAAAGTAACTAACAAGATTAAATACTTTCTAGGTATCATTTTTCCATGATATTGTATCTTTAGATATTGATAAAAATTTCAAAAGCAAACATCCGGCGACCGATAAAAAATAGAACAAGTTTTGAGTGGCATTTTGCCTTCAGCCTTCAATGAAAATAAAAAAAAAGTTAAATAATCGAATTAACAAGAATTAAGGTGGCTATTCGCTCTGGATTTGCAAAAATATTCCAAGAATCGACATTGTTCTCAATAATTGTCCCGATTTAAGATTTGTTGTTTTTTAATGTTCCCGCATTTTTGAATAGGTTCTTATTTCACAATATTTAATTTAAATACATACATTATATTTAAAATTTAGAAAATTTAAATCGAAAAACTGTAACAGAAAACAATGTTACTTACTGAAATTAATTATGAAAAAAGCTTTAAAAAATTTTAAGATATTGCGAAGAAGATGGTTTAGAAAAATACAAAAATTTGGTACTAATTATTTTAGAAAAAAACTGATTTTTATTATATTATCAAATAGTTGGTATTTATTTTTTTTTATCTATTTATTTAACACCAATGGCAACGTTATGTATTATTTTTATTTAAAAAAAAAATAATTAAAAAATCACAATGCCTCTTCACCAATCTTATCACTTTGCAGACTTGAGAAATGAGAGTAATATCTTTGAAATCAAACTAATACTTTTACTGAAACCGATTCAGAATTTTGTAAAAGAACTAAATATCATAAGTAAAGTGATATACCGACATACGAGTTTACATGCTTTTTAATATTATTTATTCACTACGCCATTTATATTTTTCGAGAAAACCTTTCGTTCGTATCTCGAATTTTGCTCGTATGTCGAAGCAACGAATCGCTTCTTTGGCGGCTCCTATCTCAAAACATTTGTATATCAAGGTAACTCGTAAGACGGACTACAATTTTAATATTTAAACTATTACTTACGATAACGGCACGATAACCAAGAACGGTCCATTGACTTTCTTCTTCTCCATCAAGTATGTGACGAGAGCAATCGTTTGGATAGTTTTACCAAGACCCATCTCATCAGCCAAGATACCATTTAAGTTGTTATTGAACAAGGACACAAGCCATTCTAAACCCTTCACTTGATATTCCTTTAATTTACCATTAACCTGAAAAAAATAAATCATTCACATTAATACTAAAAAAAATATAAAATAGGTAATTTAGGTAAACTAATCAATGCAAGTCTTAATAGTTGTTTTTTTCTTTCGGTATACAAATATTTAAATTGCCAATCAGAATAAAAATCAACCATGAAATGGCTTTTAAACTTTTTAAATCGTTTTTGAGAAAACATCGACGATTTTGTTATACACATTCATATATTTTTTCCAATTTCCACGTCAAATGATTCAAAATAAAAAAAATTAAAAACTAGTTGGTTTGCTATTTAGCCTTGAGGCAAGTTACATGAACTTCCCGATATATTTAAATAATCCGCTTAATCAATAAAAAATAAATTAATTTATGAGTCATTAAAAGTATTCCGAGTGGATTTATTACACATAATTGAAACGAATGAACACTTTGACTCGGAGTATTTTCTAAAAGCAAATTTTCAAAAATCAATAATTTTTATAATTGAACCAGTTTTCAGGACTTTAATGATTTATTATGTTCAAGACTAAGTACTCTATCATTATACCAAGTAAATAGTCTAATTTTAATTTTAACAAATGTCAAAAGAGCTACTCATTTTCTCAAACTTTGATGAATTTTTAAAATTAAACTACTTGTAGTAAGGCCGTAATATTTCAGTAAGTTCTATAAGACCACGGTATATATCGCTAAAAAAATCCATAAAAATCGGCTAAAATTTTTTTTTCAACAGTTAATTACAAGAAAACGGCTCTGCAGATTTTCACTTAAAACTAATCGGCTTCATTCCCAACTAATATCTTTCGAACACTTTTGATTTTTTAAAATCGGTTTGGTAGTTTGAGGTTAAATGTGGACGAAAAGTTTAACACTTTTTTCAAATTACAAAGAAACGGCTTGGCATATCGTCGCACAAAACTGACAAACGATAGTCCTCACCGAAATACATCGAATGGCTTTTAAATTTCTGAGATCGGTTCAGGCGTTTTTGAACAAACGTCGATGAAAGTTCTAATTTTGACAAATGCCAAAAAGACCATACTAATTTTTGCAAACTTTGACAAATTTTTAAAGCTAAACGAGTTGTCGTAGGGCCGTGATATTTTAGTATGATCTAGAAGACTATGGTATCTACCGTCAAAAAAATAATCATAAAAATCGTCGAATTTTTTTGAAAAAAACTATTACAAGAAAACGGCCCGGCCAATCTCTACCAAAAACTAATCAGCACGATTCCTAAACAATATTATTCCAACGGCTTTTGAATTTTCAAAATCGATTCAGAATTGCGGGCTAAAACGTGGACGAAAATTTTTTCACTTTTCTGCGATTTACAAAGAAACGGCTTGGCCGATCGCCGCACAAAACTGAGAAACGCTAGTCCTCATCGAGATACATCAAATGGCTTTAAATTTTTGAAATCGGTCCAGCCGTTTTCGAGAAAACGTCGATTTACGGCAAAAAAATCTGTTCACACACACACACACACATACTTCGATTCGGAATGGCTTAAAACTTCGAAAAAACAGAAAATTTGCGAATCGGATTTTTTGATGAAAACATAAACTGCTCCTTCAGAAAGTTAAAAAAAAAATTGAAAATAAAATTAATTTTACTTACCATAATAGATGCTTGCTCAGAAACAATTTCGTGAACAGTATGCGCAATGCTATAATAAGTTTGTTCTTCAGTTTTGTATTCATCGTCTTCAACTTTAGCTTTCGTGATAACCTCTTTAGCTTTCTCCTCATCTGTCTTTTCTTCTTTCTTTTTAGCTATAAAAGAAAACCACAGAAAATATTAGAAATTTGTTATTAAATCAGGAATTTAAAAATATTAAATATTATATTAAAAATATGTCGTTTTGAACAGGCAACAAGTTTATCTGCTCTAAAAAACAATAGGCAATAAAATAATTTTTTCCTTACCTTCTCCTTCCATGTCTCCTTCTTCATCACTACTAGAGTCAGAATCGATAATCTGAAATAAAAATAATTATGCATAATTCACATATATCTAGAAATTCATATTTAAGTTTATTTCGTGTTAAAATTTACCTCCCATCCAGGATGACTTTCGAGCCATGCATGCAGCTGACTGAGCATAGGAGCCTCTTCGCCCTTCAGAGTCTTTCCAGTATTGATTTCAATCACCGACACTCTTGTATCTGATGCCTGAGAGCTCTCATCAGGATCGATTTCACCAGATTCAATCATCTTGCGCTTCTTCTTCTGTAAAAGAGAAAAATAATTGAGAAATTGTTATGAGGTCAACAGAAACAGAATAAAATGAACTAGTGATGTACGGCATCGTGCCTTAAGGCAAATTGCTGGAACTTCCCGTACAGTAATGAAATATTCGAGAAATTTTAAACGTTTTCAAATATATTATTACAAATACTGTAACTTTCATTATTTTTGCATTATCTTGTTATATCTGAGCAAATACAAATGTAAATTATAAATCAATTTGTCTCCAGAACATTAACAATAATCATTTCATTTCGGATTCAATTTCAAAAAAATAGTTGGCTAATTTACACAAAATTGAAAAAGTGCTCCCGTGTAGTCACAGACGCAAAACGCATTTGCAAACTAGTTGGTTTGGTATTTAGCCTTGAGGCAAGTTACATGAACTTCCCGATATATTTAAATAATCGACTTAATTAATAAAAAATAAATTAATTTATGAGTCATTAAAAGTATTCCGAGTGGATTTATTACACATAATTGAAACGAATGAACACTTTGACTCGGAGTATTTTCTAAAAGCAAATTTTCAAAAATCAATAATTTTTATAATTGAACCAGTTTTCAGGACTTTAATGATTTATTATGTTCAAGACCAAGTACTCTATCATTATACCAAGTAAATAGTCTAATTTTAATTTTAACAAATGCCAAAAGAGCTACTCATTTTCTCAAACTTTGATGAATTTTTAAAATCAAATTATTTGTCTTAAGGCCGTAATATTTCAGTAAGTTCTATAAGACCATGGTATATATCGCTAAAAAAAATTCCATAAAAATCGGCTTAAATTTTTTTTCAACGGTTAATTACAAGAAAACGGCTCGGTAGATTTTCACCTAAAACTGATCAGTATCATTCCCAACTAATATCTTTGGAACAGTTTTTGATTTTTTAAAATCGGTTCGGTAGGATGAGCTTAAATGTGGACGAAAAGTTTAACACTTTTTTTCAAATTACAAAGAAACGGCTTGGCTGATCGTCGCACAAAACTGACAAACGATAGTCTTCCCCGAAATACATCAAATGGCTTTTAAATTTCTGAAATCGGTTCAGGCGCTTTTGAGAAAACGTCGATCAAAAGTCTAATTTTGACAAATGTCAAAAAAACTATGCCAATTTTTGCAAACTTTGACGAATTTTTAAAGCTAAACGAGTTGTCGTAGGGCCGTGATATTTTAGTATGACCTAGAAAACTATGGTATCTACCGTCAAAAAAAAAATCATAAAAATCGTCGAAATTTTTTTTTTAAAAACGTTATTACAAGAAAATGGCCCGGCCGATCTTTACCAAAAACTAATCAGCACGATTCCCAACCAATATCTATCGAATGGTTTTTGAATTTTCAGAATCGATTCAGAATTGCGGGCTAAAACGTGGACGAAAAATTTTTCACTTTTCTGCAATTTACAAAGAAACGGCCCGGCCGATCGCCGCACAAAACTCAGAGACGATAGTCCTCATCGAGATACATCAAATGGCTTTTAAATTTTTGAAATCGCTCCAGCCGTTTTGGAGAAAACGTCGATTTACGGCAAAAAATCTGTTCACACACACACACACACACACACACACACATACTTTTTCCAAATTTGGTCTCATTCGATTCAGAATGGCTTGAAACGTCGAGAAAACATAAAATTAGCCATTCGGATTTTTTTATGAAAACATAAACTTCTCCTTCGGGAAGTTAATAATTCTGTGCGACACATTCACTTATACTGTGCTTAGTTCGGCGGCATTTTCACATTTTTCAATAGTTTTCACAAAATTGGAAAAGTGTTCCAGTACATAAATAGTCTAAACCAGTGATTCCCAAACTTATTTCGCCTACCGCCCCCTTTCTAAAAAAAATATCACTCAGCGCCCCCCTAATTTTTTTCTACATATCAACAGCAATTAATGAGGTATATAAAAATTATTGTATCTGTAAAAGATAAATTGACGAATAAGAAACTAATTTTGATAGAGTACGCTATTTTGTAAGTCATAAAACATTCAGAAAAGTTTGCACCATCAGTGAATTTCAAATGTTCTAGGCCCTCAAGTCACTATATTGAATTTTTCAGATATATTACGGGTATATTTGTAATGAAATGCAATTGCAATTGGTACATCACTGCTGACGGAAAGGTTTTGCTGATTTATTTATTAAAATAATGGACGTTATCAATATTAATCTTTTACTCTTTCATAAGAAGGTTGTAAAATAACATCAAAGTTTAAAATTATAAAACTATATTTATAATAAAGATACATTAAAGATTATAATTTTAATGTGAGGGATGAATCTCGTGTGCTGCTACCAATTTAGCAATTTTCGGTTCTATCTTCGTCAAAAGTAATCTTATGTCGCCACGATCGACTATTAGTAATCGGTTTCTTTGTTTTGTTAATGAATTAGTTACAGCTGAATCGACGCTTCACTAATGATATAAGTATGATGACGAAAATGCAATAAGAAATTTTTCAATGACAGACCAAATTTATGGGTAAGGCGTCGGAATCTCTTTTTGCAGCCAGAATTGTTGGTAGCTATTTTAAAATTTAAATGTCAATTCATCATTTGTTATTATCTCCATCTTTCTTTCTTTTCATAGCTGTGAAGAATCTTATGTAATTGCACTTGAAATTTAAAGTGTATAATAATATCTTCGAAATCAAAATCGCTATTCCCAAAATTGGGCGTTAAATCTCAATCCACAAGCCTTAAGCTCCACGGTGATGATGGAATTTCAATGAAATTGAATAATTTTATGAATTTAAAAATATTTAATGAAGATGGTACATTTGTAAAAAATATAAATGCCTTTGTGCTTAAGGAAATACTTAGTCCACCCGCGCGGCGAATCTAAATTTCTGAACTAAATCTTCCTAACCTAATGGATAAGATTTTCGGATCCACACTTCAATATCCCGCGCGAAGTAGATGTGTTGATAGGTGTTGATACGTTTTTTGAAACTTTAAGTAAAGAAAGAATTATTCTAGGTTGCGATAAAGCTATTTTACAAAACACGGTACTTGGGTGGACAGTTACAGGTAGGTATCAAAGAAACATAATTAGCAAGACAAGTAATAAACTTGAAACATAATAGCAAGACAAGTAATAATCATATATCCATCATAGAATCTCTTACAAAATTTGGTGAAGTTAAAAGCGTTGAAAAGTTACACAAATTGTCGACTCACAAAGAAAGTGTGAACCATCGTTTTCAGAAAATTCTGATAAAAAATTAAAATAATTTAAATCAACTTATTGTAATTATGGTTCTGTTTGCGTACCATTTCTTGAGCATACACGTTTAAATATTTAACTTTTGGCAAAGATCATAACTTTCGTTTGGCGGCAGATGCATTGCGCAATTGGACTATGCCAATTTAGTTTTAAAGTAGTAAATAATAAGGCAATTTAAAAAATTTCAGTTTTAATAACCTCAGTAGAGTAATTGTAAATTATGTAATATATTTTTATGATTGCAACATTGTTCGCGGAACGAGACAAAGGGATAGAAGTCGCAATATTAAATTTGGTTTTACAAGCTTCAGATCCTTTCAATCTATTTAATGATTATCTCTAATTGTGTCATCATTAAGAATAATGATAGATTTTCAATTTTGATTTAAGTCAGCTTTAAATTATGATTCAGGGCCGACAGTGACAAAGTCGGCATCTAAAAAAATTAAAATATCTTTTTTTACTAAAATGGGATTTGTAGTATTGTTAACTAATGTATTATAAAATTGTTTATGTCATATATGTTTGGATAATTTTAACTAAAATATTATCTTTATATATTTCAGTGTCAATGTTAACCATTCATTTATATATAATATTATTAATATTTTTTTTTACTTTTGTGCTGTAAGCGCCCCCTACAACTGAGCATCGCCCCCTAAATGATCCAAAGCCCTTCACCGCCCCCCTGGATAGCCGCAGCGCCCCCAAGGGGGCGCTGGCGCCCACTTTGGGAATCACTGGTCTAAACGCACTTTGGTAAACATTTGTACCAGAGTGGCGCTTAGACTGCGCTTAGCGTGGGTAATTTTTTGAATTTTTAATCCAAAATTACAAAAATATTTTATGGAAAATAAAAAAAGATGTAATAATTTTTTTATCCTCAAAAGCAATTGTTTTGTCAATACAAGCAGAAATTTTTTTAGATCATTCAAATCGGACGCTTAGTTCACTCAAAAACTGCTATTTTTTGCACATTTAGCTCTGTATCTTCGAAATGGCGGGACCTGTCTTTGCCAAAAACTAATCATCTCTTCTCCCTATCAATAGGAATCGAATGTTTTTTTAAACCATACAAATCGGTTGATCCGTGCGCCCAAAAACGTGGACGAAAAAATGCGGATATACAAAACACACATACAAAAATTTTCAATTTCGATTTTTGGACGATTATAATAAAAAAAATATATATATATATATACTAACCCGTTTGATCCTCTTGTGCTCCTCAATCTGTTTCTTCTTCTGCTCCATTTTGTGATTCTTGACCATCTCCGTAAGATTGCTGATGTACTCATCAGTTTGTGACAACAAGAATGCAAGACGCTTGTCTTTCTTCTGATCGATAAGTTTTTCTGTAACCTTCTTCGTCCTCAGCCATAAGCCTAGATAAAAAACATAATAAATATAACAATATCTTATATATAAAAATGAATCGCAAAATGCGTTGGTAAGCGCATAACTCAACAACGCCTGAACCAATTTGGCCAATTCTTTCTTTAAAATGTTTGTTGAAGCCCAAACAAGGTCTTACGGCGAGAAAAAATCGAATAATTGCCGGAAAACCCTAAAAACAGCCCTTTTCTTTTTCTCATACTAAAATGGTAAAAATTCTAAATGGTAGAATCAATTTGAACTTTATTGCTATTATATAAAGTTCATAATAAATGAAAAGCACTCACTGTATACTCCTTCTAAACGATTATTCGGATTTTGATAAATCTTTCTGAAGTTTGTTAAGGAAATTTTCTAGGTATAAGCAATATTGCAGAAATTAATGGAAAAAAATGCAAAAAACGACATGTTATTGTTTGCATTGAAAACAAATGAAAACTATCATCTGCCAAAAATTTCAATTTACTTATGAGCCTAGACAATATTAGGATATGTATAATGAATTCATGATTATGAATGAAAAAAATAAAATGTCTACATTATTATTGCCAAAAAGCAGCTGAGATGTGCCAGAAATTAAAATAATATAAAATACAGTATATGTATGGTAGATTGAATGATACACATATGAACAGGATATGACAAATTAATTCACTTAAAATATGAAATTAAGTATTAATCAGGGCCGGTCCTACCTTTAATGCGATGCATGCGAATAAAACGAGCGCACGCCTTAGGGGGCGTCAACACAAGATTCGGATATTAAATTTTCAATATATAATTTCTTTGCATCTTTTACTAGTCTTTCCACAATATTTTTTAAATTCGAAAAAATTTAATTTAAAACAACAAATGGGAGAGTAAAGATAAATACATACAATTCGTCCCTCACGGTATCGATTAGGAGAAGTTTAAGATGCAATTTTGGCCATCTTAAATAATAAAAAATTAAATTAATTTAATCCAACATGAAGTACCAGTGTTATGTTATGGCTATAGTTATGTTATACCGTTTAAAAGATTTCAGTTTTCAATATAGTGTGGGAATTGAGACTCATCATTTTATTTAAAGCAATTCTACATTTAACATCGCGCATATTATAAATGTATATGCATTTTGGTGTGAAGAGTAATTTAAAAAACAATAATTATTATTTTTAGGTGAACTGTAAATATTAGTATATTATATTAAAAAATTGTAAACATCTAGTTTGGTAATAAAAATACTTTTTATTTTATGCCATGTATTAAATACTAACCTGCGCATACGTTCTTTCTCGATACGTTCCTGTTCCTTCTTTTGTTCACGTTCAGCATTAGCATGATAATTCATAACAGCTTTGTTGAGACGACCCAACTTTGCAACATTGTTACGATGGAATTCTTTGAAATCTTTGCCTATAAATGTAAAATACTCATGTTAATTATATATTGATTAACTAAATAAATAAATATGTTTATCATGTATCAATTTCTTACCATGTTGCAGTACGCAAGAAAGAAATTCTTGATGTTTCTGTCTTCGTTTTCTTTCGGCTTCCATTTTTTGTTGTTTCTCCAACTTTTCAGTGGCTCTGGCTTCACGCAGACCTTGACGTTTGGTTCTTTTGTAAGATTTAACATTAACAGCAGTTTCCAGCATCGTGTCACGTCTTGTACACATATTAACCTACCAGAAAAAGTAATAATAAATAATCTACAATTATAATTCAGTATATATATATATATATATATATATATATATACGTGTATATATCTTATATATAAAAATGTAGCTCTCGATCAAATGATCTGCTAAAATTCGAAAACGGCTAAACCGATTTGGCCAATTTTAGTCTTGAAAAATTCGTGCTAATCAGTAGGTTGTCGGAAAGGTGAAATATTACTTCAAACTCGCGTACAAACTTTACATTTTTAATTTGAACATTTTTGTAGAAGCGTAATTTAAATAAAACAATAGACGGTGGCTAATACGTCAAATGTCGAATGTTTTTGATAGATGATGTTCAATTACGTTTAATAAGATATTTTACGTGAATATTATTTAATTATTATTAAATTGTAGTATGTAGTTTTGTTCATAGTTATATTTGCACACAAAAACGTTATTAAATGGATCGCAAGTGTTACTAGAAACTCAAAATATCAACTTTTTTTAAATGTGAATATGAAAATGCACTTTTTTGCATATATTTTTCTCAAGCACGGAGCTATGAAAGATCTCATTTGTATAATTATATGCTCATTGGTATTTATAAAACATTTTCTATGTTATATTATTTTTTATTTATGTCATTTAAATTCAAAACCTAAATTTGGTATTGTTCAAAGGGACATTTTGTCGAATAACATTTTCCCTGTTATAATTTCCCAGAATTTATCGAAAAATAGATAGTAATATGTGAAGGTCCGGGGTTAAAAAGGTCCACCACCAATGTGACAAAAACCAGTAAATTTACGCATTGTTTAATAACAATATTTGAAAGTAGGGGGGAAAAGATGTATAACTAGCTATAACCTTGATTCTTTGAAAATACATAATAAAAGTATTTTCTTCCGTTGGTAGTTTTTTTAGCATTAGTTAAAAGTGCAATTATTTTATAAAATACCTTTAAAATTTAAATAAGACATTAAGCCTGTTTGCCACCTGGCCGTTCCAAGTTACCCTGTCTATGGGGTAAAAAAGGTCCAGATAACAAATTTTTGAAAGACATCAAAAAAGCACATTTCTACAATGATGAAGTAGCTGGCAGTTTTACTGAACGTAGTCAGATAATTGTTTGTTTGAAATGTGTTATTTGTTGTGATATAATTGGCTTGATTTTTAAAATATAATTAATATTTGCTCAAAGTCAAATTGGACCTTTGTGCCTCGCCCTGCTCTACATATATACTTTTTATTAAATTTACTTTAATTCATCGAATGTTACTTGAAACTTTTCAAAAAGCAGGCCAAAGAAGAAATACTTAATTTATTTTCTATCTCCCCCTCGCAGAAATTTGAAAATTTTGTATGAGCTTAGTAGTATTAATTATAATTATACACAAAATCCATAATCCAAAAAGAATCTGAAAAACTTGAAACGCAATATACGTACGTGTGACACGTAACTCAGTGTCCAAACTAACAACATGTTCGTTTGGAATAAGCTTTTTTATAATAAAACATATTATTTATTTTAATTTTATAATTTTCGAAATTTTCATAACTTGACGTCTTTTCAATTTTTTATTTCATATTTATTTTTTCGTTGCTTTTTGTGTTGTTCTTTGTGTTATTTTTTAAAATTTATTTGTATGCACTGATGATGGATCAAATCTAGACCCGAAACGTATGTTCTCTTAATAAAAACATTTTTCAATAAAACTGTTTTTTAAATATTGAATGGATGCCCAAGAAACAATTTTATCATATATATATATATATATATATATATATATATATATATATATATATATATATATATGATTTAGTAGTTAATTTTGATGTTGAAATATATGAGTGAGTTCTTGAGGGCGATACATCAAACTGGTTTGGTGTATCGCCCTCAAGAACTCACTCATATATTATATATATATATATATATATATATTATTATTTAAATATGTACCTCACTGCGCAACTGTCTTTGGAAATTGATGACACGTAAAGCTTGAAGCTCGATTTGAGCTTGTAGGCGCAAATCTTCCGGCATAGTCGTCGGCAAGTTGCTCAAAACTTGAATCCTATGAGCTATGCGTGCAGCAACTCTACAAAAAAAATTCCAACATCAAAAACTGCACAACCAAAACATTTTTACCCAAAGACCCTTTCCCTCCTGACCTGTTTTCCCTCTCCTGAAGCAGCAAAACAGGGTCCAGCCCGACAGGTTTAGCAAGAGTGGTGATCCTGTTCTGTTTTTGTGTCGGGGGTCCCACAGGCTGTGCTCCTGGTTGTCCAGGTGCCATTTGTTGTTGCCCTGGTCCCATCGGCTGATGGGGTCCCATCATTCTTTGCTGAGGAGGCATTCCTGGTTGCATCATTTGAGGCTGGTGGCTGTTTGGAGGTTGACCTGGCATCTGTGGCGGACCCTGGAGAAAAAGGTAATAGAATTATGTAATTTTAATAATAAATAAGTAGTTAGAAGTAGTAAATAAGATTTCTCATGCTTTCTATGATTTATTATAAAATTAGGTCATCATAGAGGGGGTAATGATAGAACAAATGTTCTTTACACTGTTTTAGTGCTTTCCACAGTCAACAGAGGATCTACTGTGCTCAATTTCACTCTTTTTAAAGAACTGGCTCTCTTATCATAATACAGTCACAATTTTTTTTAAATATATTTTTGTAAAAACATACGTGGTCTGTTCAAAAAGTACCCGGAATTGTTGTTTTTTCAAAAAAATATTTATTTATTCGTCTACATTAATGTGGTCCCCTTCAAAGTAGTCCCCCCCAGATATAATACACTTATGCCAGCGTTTTTTCCAATTTTCGAAGCACCCTTGATATTCACTTTTTGATATGTCCTTGAGCACTCTCAGCGATTTTCTTCAATCGAGGAAAACCGCCGTCCTTTCATGGGTCTCTTCAACTTTGGGGAATAGGAAAAAGTCACACGGAGCCATATCTGGTGAATTTTTGCACTTTGCAACACTTTATTTCATTTTTTACGCAAAATTTAATACAAATTCTTTGACTTTTCAATTCTTCCATTGTAAAAATCGCCGAGCTCAGAAAAACACGTCGAACCTTAGCGACTACCACAGACAAAGTAAACAGTGAATATAGCTGAAAATTTCATCATACTTTAGGGGCATGTATACCAACACAATAAAAAAAAAATTTTGACAATCAGACACTCCAGACCCGCGAAATTTAATTATTAGTAATTCCGGGTACTTTTTGAACAGACCACGTATTTGAATATTTCGTCCTCATTTTTCGTCTGGGTTATTTTTTCTATATTATATATTTGTATAAATCTGATCTATAGTTAAAACCACGGGTAAATTTACGTGCTACAGATATTAGCGACTCTGTAGATTGCGGAAAGAATTATAAATAATCGCCGAGTTTATGATCTATTTACACTTCTTTTATCTATGGACACTGTTGACTAATTTTAATAAAGCATTACAAAACTAATTTCATAAGTTTTAACAATTGCGAGAAATTAAGCAGCAATTAGTTATATAATTATAAGCAGAATTATAATAAATAGTTGCACAAGCTGAGAACATAAATATATATAATAAAAAATTCACAACTTTTACATAATCTTTCTGTCGATTATAATAAAAAATCCATGAATTCCAGAAAATAATAATAAAATAAAACAATCTTTCTTTCAAAAGGTACTGCAGAATTTACATTTGGCATTAGTAAAGCTTAAAATTTATAATAATGCAACTTCTCACAGGCCTGTAATATTTTAAGGGCATCGTTAGTATTTCCCTTGTTAGTACATAATTCAACATATAACAAATAAAAAAAAAACATGCAAAGCACTACAAGGGATACCAAAAAGGACAATAAGGATCTAAAAAGCCAGGAGGAGCTACAAAGAAATATAATGAGAACCTGAAAATTAAAATATAATTAATTAAATAAATATTGCGGATGCAAAGATTAGAAATCAGAGTATATGGTGAAAGAATTGTGAATCTGTCTAGAAATAAATAAATTATAATAGAATTTTTGAAGTAAAACTTCTTTAGGCGCGACTAGTGTGTAAATTCGTACAAATGCAACGGAAGTCCGTTACGCCTCAACTGTTCGTCATTCGCTCTCGATGAGATCATTTCTATACGGGTCGATTGTGATTAGTCGTTGTGATTAGTACAAATGTTGATTTAATGAAAAATGCCCGAATCAGAAGAATACTTTACCCTGTTCCTTGAAAATAATAAAACAAATTAAGCATTTGTGCCGTGTATTGAATGTAAGTTTATTGATTAGAAATTATTTCTATATTATTCGTAATTTCTATAAATCTTTGAAGTTATTATAATAGAAAATACTTTTTAGGCAAGACAGATATTACAGCTGTTCAAAGAATGAGATTATATCGCCAGCGAAAAGGTAAAAAAAAATACAAGCAGTCAATGAATGTATGTCAATTTTAATTATTGAAGTTCTTCAAACACAATTATTACATTATGAGTGAAGTTGCGAAAACAATATTTGTTTGGGCGTCGTTTAACATAATCCACTGTGTGAACGAATATTATAGAGTTTATTAATCAGTAATTACTTCATTTCTCTAATTAAGATTCAAGTCGTAAATGCTAATTACAATGACAAACCGATCATGTCACATTTGAAGTATGACTTTAATTACATTATTGTTTTTAAATATTATACATATTTTTAATGCTATTATAAATATATAATTTATAATTTATCATTATATAAATATATATAATGATTGACACTAATAAATGTGTGCATCACGAGAGTGTTACCTTATTACTAATAAACATTATTCAAAATTGTTATATAATGTATTTATTTTTACTTAAATGCCATCTCGTACAATAGCAAATAAGTTTTACTTCAATCACGTGTGAACCTTACGCGCACTCTTTTTTTTCAAATTTTGGCTACAAATACTATTAAGATTAGATAGATAATTTTGATTAAATTACAAAAGAAAATAAAGGAATGATGCCTATCCATATGATAAAAAAGATTTATTAAAATTATTCCAAGACGCTGATATAGATGCTAGTATAATTTTTTATTGATATTTATAAAGTTTTTGATTAAAATATTAACGACATTAGCAAATAATTTTTTTAAGACATTGAAAGTGTCATATTAAATACCCTCGACATCAAAGAAATGTAAATAAAGGGTCTGATCGAGTTTCCATACAGAATTGGCCCCACCCTGGTATTTCAATGATTTTGATGCCATTTTATAGGTATTTTCGAGAAAATCCGATATACCAAATTTCAAATCCGTAGCTCATCATTTGGCCGAGATATCATTGAAAACGTGTGAAAGTGGCGCCTTCTTTCAAAGTCGTTTTTTGACGAAACTGTAAAAGATATCGACAAACAAATAATACAGTTCTATTCGCATCGGTGTGGAATATATTATCATTAACAAATATTGTTAAATAATTATTTGTTAGTCAATGAAAAAGTGAAAACTTTTTGTTCCAAATTTTCGGGTAGTGCGGTTGTTTGGACTAATTTTTAATTAGCATCAAGGATAATGCACAATTGTATTGTGGTTCAATTGTTATTCTGTGTGTACTTTGTGGAGAGACATTTTATTCAATAGATTTTTAAATATTATTTAATGTATTTATGACCCTTTATAATTTTCAACAATCATTTATCTAGACAGATTTCCCGAATTCTCCTCCCCTTATTACCTGATTCATCATCATAGGCATAGGAGGCGGCCCCTGACCAGGCCCAGGTCCCTGTCCAGGCCCCGGAGGTCCCTGGCCCTGCTGCTGTTGAGGGGCCATAGGAGGAGGCCCCTGCTGAAGAGAAATCGGCGGACCCCCAACATTCGGAGGAGGCGGAGGACCGCCTCTCGAAGGATCGTTCTGACCAGGAGGCGGCGGTCCACCAGGCTGCTGCTGCTGCTGCTGATTAGGCGGAGGAGGCTGCTGCTGCTGCGATTGGGGAGCTCCGTTCTTTTGTGCGATGGAAAGTGAAGGATAACGACACATAAAACCCACAAGAAAGGGAACACCACGTGGACAGATAGGAGGACACACACAAAGACAGACAAAAGTGTTAGTGACATGGTTGTGAGACACAATGGTTATAGATAGATAAATGTTATATTGGGTTATATTTACACTCTTGTTTTTTTTAAACGACATCCACAATGTTTTTTACGAGTAGACACAGAAGTTGTCACAGAATGGAAATACAATATTTTGATGAACAATGTCATCAAAATAAATCAACCAATTTAAGTAATATAAAAGTACATATTATCAAAATCATAATACGTCAAAGTTTTATTTTGATAGCTGTAGATTTTTTAAATAGTTTCATTAACCCTTTCGAAAAAGGTGTCTACAATAGGCGTGTGTGCAAGTTTCGTCTATAGACGACGTAAGAAAAAAATCGACATCAAAAACGTATCCTAGACTTCGACGTTTGACCTGTGTATAGTATTTAATAAAATACCTCCACATTTTTTGCGACATTAGTGGGGGGAGGATCTAGAATGCTATGATTCTATCTTAACTTCCCGAAGGAGAAGTTTATGTTTTTATAAAAAAATCCGATTCGCTAATTTAATGTTTTCTTAACGTTTCAAGCCATTCTGAATCGAATGAGACCAACATTTGGAAAAAGTATGTAAATAGATTTTTTGCCGTTTCCTCAAAAACGGCTGGACCGATTTCAAAAATTTTAAAGCCATTTCATGTATCTCGATAGGGACTAGCGTTTGTCAGTTTTGCCCACATTTTAGCTCATACTACCGAAACAATTTTAGAAAATCAAAAACCATTCGAAAGATATTGGTTGGGAATGATACTGATTAGTTTTAGGTGAAAATCTACCGAGCCGTTTTCTTGTAATTAACTGTTGAAACAAAAATTTAAGCCGATTGTTATGAAACTTTTCTTGGCTATATATAACAAGGTCTTATAGAACATACTGAAATATTAGGGCCTTACAACAAGTAGTTTAATTTTTAAAATTCATCAAAGTTTGAGAAAATGAGTAGGTTTTTTGACGTTTGTTAAAATTAAAATCAGACGATTTACATGGTATAACAATAGAGTACTTGGTCTTAAAGTACGTACTAAACCAATAAAGTCCTGCGAAAACTGGTTCAGTTATAAAAATTATTGATTTTTGAGAATGTGCTTTCAGAAAAGGCTCCGACAGGGTAATGTGTTCGATTTTCAATTATGTGTAATAAATCCACTCTGAATACTTTTAATTCCTCATAATTTAATTCAGTTTTTATGGATTAAGTCGATTATTTACACATATCGGGAAGTTCATGTAACTTGCCTCAAGGCTAAATACCAATACCAACTAGTTTATTATTGGTGCTATCTTTGGACATACAGAGTGTCAACTTTTGCTTCTAACTTAGTGTCAGATTATTGACAATTATAATTTGTTAATGTAGCTTTTCTTTTTATTTTTATTGATAAGTGAGAAATCTTTATAAATTATTTTGTGTAACAAATTCTTGAGCGTCTTGCTCGCATGGAGAGCAGAGTTAATGGAGAGGGTTAATGAAACAATTGAAAAATTATGTTCATAAAATATAAATATGCATACAAATAAAAAAATGACGTCCAAATTTTATATTGACGTTAAAATGTAGATAATTTCTATTTAAATAAGTTTAGCTAATAAATCATTTGTTTACTATGAATGTATGTGAAATATAAAAAAAAATTAACTAATAACGTATTTCAACCGATCAATAATAAGTTTCAAATATGTATATCAAAGTGCTGTAGAGCAATACGTTAAAAAACATTATTATTTATTTTGGCGCAAAGTTTTCAAATAATCCATTTATTTTTTGTGTAAGAAATAAATGCACATATGAATTCAATTGTTGATGATTACCTGTGCCGGAGGTTGTCCAGACTGTCCAGGTTGAAACGGGCTGCTTGGAGGTGTCGGACATTGCGGAGGATTTACTCCGTCTGGTCTTTTACCCTGGACGGATAACAAAAGTTGCTGGTTCAATGGTTGATTCCTGGCCAACATTCTGTATGCCATTATTTGACCTCTGAAAGAAAGAATAGACTTGTAGGAATTCCCATTTTTGCAAATAAAATGTTTTGCAAACAAAATGTTCATTTGGCAACAAATACAAATGTGTTATATAGTCATTATTATAAACATAACTAATGATGTATGACATCGTGCCTTAAGGCAAATTGCTGGAACTTCCCGTACCAAAAACTAAATTAAAAAAAAAAAACTGTGCAAAACTTTGAAAAATTAGATTTTTGAGAAATCGAGATTTTTTATATTTTGAATTTTTTTGTATTTTGATTTGTTTCGAAAATTTTGAACATTTTTTTAAGCAATCGCTCTGCATAGCTGATTTGGAGTCAAAATATAAAAGCGCGTAAGCGCCGCGTAGTCGTCTAAAGTGTGTAAACATTGGTACGGAACCCATATAAATGTACACAAAAATTGTACTTATTATAATTTTTATAAAATATCTGATAATACGATGTGCATATGTCTAATGATCATTTTTGACTGCCAAATGACAATATTTTTTATTTTTTTATTGGATCTCCGAAGACGCTGAAACTGCCTTTACAAAAATTTCACCAGTTGTTCATTTCTTCAATACAAGTAAAATGTTTTTTTGAATTATTTAAATTGGACGCTCCGCTCTCTCAAAAACTGAAATACATTTTTTGACACTTTTTGTCCCATATCTCCGAAACGGCTAGACCTGCCTTTGCCAAAACTAATCAGCACGTCTCTTTATCAGTAGGAATCAAATCGGGTGATCGGTGTTCCCAAAATCGTCAACAAAAATTGTATCCGCACATACACACACATACATCCATTTTTTCTAAGGTATGCCAAAATGTTCAGAAAACTCTGAAACGTAAAGATTAATACAAATTTTCATTTTCGATTTTTTTGCGATTATTATAATCATCAACAGCCATTATTATTTTTTTGGATATCCGTTATATCTTTTTTATACTATATTCTACATTATATTTTATATAATTTTTTTTATAGACAGAAATGCCCTCAAATCACCATTTTTCCTTGAGATTATATTTGTGATCTATAAACTATCTATATGTATAACCAAAAGTGAAAATTTGCTATCATGCTGCCTGATATCAAGTTTGTGCTAGCCTAAGTCCTAAATGTTTAATAATATTAAGAGTATATATTTACCTTAATTGCACGAGCTGATTCTGACTGAAAGGTTGTTTTGAAGGATCTTGTGGACCGTACTTAGCTCGCAAGGCCAGAAGTTGACCGTAACGTGGATCTTCCTAATAGGAGAATTAAAGAAAAATACTTTAATATAATTAAAACCATTTATGCTAATAACTAATAATAAAATATTTTTAATTAATATGATGACAGTATTAAATGAATTAGATTTAAAATGTAAATATTTCAGGCAATATAACAATATTTATGTTTTCATATTTCAAAATATTTTTTATGTATTTATATAAAATGCAAAAAATACAAAAAACATAAACTTCTTCTTCGGGGAGTTAAAAATACAAAAAAAATGAATCAATGGTCATTAGTATTATATATATGTGTGTGTATATATAAACATATATATGATAAAAATTGTTTCTTGGGCATCCATCCAATAATTAAAAAAACAGTTTTAATGCAAAATGTTTTAATTAAGAGAACATACGTTTCGGGTCCAGATTTGACCCATCTTCAGTGCTACAAATAAATATATCAGGGTTACAAATTAAAACAATATAAAAAAAATAATATAAAAGATACATAATTACAGACAAAAATAAGTAGAAACAATGTATATGAAAAGTATATATGAAAAACAATCATAGAATAAAACAAATGTAATGAAACTCACCATACAAATAAATTTTTAAAAAAATAACACAAAATTGCAATATATATATAATATATACATAATAATATATATATATATATACATAATAATATATATATATATATATATATATATATATATATATATACACATATATACAAATTCCTATCACTTATTACCTGTAATCCTTTCTCCTCCATAGTATCAATAGTCCTCTGCAAAGCGCTCAAATTCTCCTGTCCCTGCGGTGGTGGAGGGCCCCCTTGAGGAGGAGGCGGTCCGCCGCCCTGCTGTGGAGGCATAGGACCACCTCCTTGTGGTGGCATCGGTGGTCCTTGCATTTGTTGCTGAGGTGGAACCCCTGGTCCAGGAGGTCCTGGCGGTCCCTGTTGTTGAGGTGGTGCATTTGGTGGTCCTGGAGGCATTCCGGGAGGCGGTTGCTGGTGGTGCGGAGGCGGAGGACCGTGCTGCATGGGCGGACCTTGACCTTGAGGAGGTCCTTGTGGAGGTGGTGGACCTATTGGCCCTGGACTTGGCCCCTAGGTAAAAGATAGATAAATATTTTTTTTAGAGCAGAATAAAACTAAATCTTAAACTAAAATATCTGACAATTTGGTCCATGTCCAATGATCATTTTTGATTGCCAATTGGCATTTTTTTAACTTCACGAAGGGTTAATTATATCTATTTATTTATTTATTTATTCATAAGCAAGCCGTAATCAATAATAATTGTATGGTGATGTAATTTATAGAATGATAATAAACAAAATGATCAAGAAAGCTTGAAACAGTTAGAAATATTAGAGTTGAAAATTTAATATGTTATTAAATATATTTATGTTGTTTTTCAGAATTTTAACACTACGTTTTTTATATTTTAAGCTCAACTTTTTAATATGTTGTGTACAAAATGATTTTCAATCAACAATATTTTAAATTTTATTTACAATCTTATAAATACAATCTTTCGCTATTTAACAATTTCTAAAATTCTGAAGAAAGCTGAAGAAATTATTAAATAATAAAACTCAAAATCTCTTGATAATAATAATATTCTCTCAACTGTACTGAACTGTTAATTTCAAAAATATAATATTAAATTTCTATAATTATAATTTAACATATAATTACCTGATTAGGATGTTGAGGCATCGGATGATAGCCCATAGGTGGTCCTTGAGGCGGCATGCCGTGCATTCCTGGATGAGGTTGTCCCGGACCCATTGGACCGCCAGGATGACCTGTAATAATAATAATAATAATTGTAAAATATATGGGTAAATACATTTCTTGAATTTTGTTACCAATATGATTGTAAAAAAAAATTAATTTAAAAATCATAAAAAACACAAATATAATTCTATACAAAATATTATTAATGTATTTATATAAAATTATTTTTTATATAACTGTTCTCATAATATATATATATATATATATATATATATATCATATGTAAAATTATTCTGTAGTGTTGTATGAAAGGATAACCCTCCTAAACGATTAGTCAAATTTTGATAAATCTTTCTGAAGTTTGTTAAGGATTTTTTTTTAGAATTTTTTGAATTATAGAAATATAATTAGATTGCAGAATTAAATAGAAAATATTACAAAACAATGCTTATCATTGTTTGGCATTGAAAATATTCAAGGCATTGCTTGGCTTGGAAAACAAATGAAAACTGTCATCTGCCAAACATTTCAATTCACTTATAGGCTAGGACAATATTAAAATATAATATATATATGATAATGAATAGGAAAAATTGAATGTCTACATTATTATTGCCAAAAAGCAGATGAGATGAGCCAGAAATTAAAATAATATAAGATGTAGTCAACAGTTCATATGTTTGGCAGATGAAATTATATAATTCAGTTTAATAAATAACGCAATAAGTCCACAATTGCATATACATTATTTTTTTAAACTAATGCATTTCCATTTTGGTTTACTTTACTAAATTATTTAACAATACAAAAAAATATTTAGCAAATTGATCTAGACTGAATAGTGCACATAAGAACTGGATTTTACAAATTAATTCACCTAAGATTTGAACATAAACAATAATGTTTATTAAATTATTAGTAAGAAAAATGTACTCTATAAATTATAATTGCCAAAAAGCAACTAATATATCGTATGAGATTATAAAAATTATAGACTGAATTGTTGAAACAATTATGTTGTGTGATAAAATCAAATGTTATTCCAAAATCAAATATTTATTCTTTTACCACAGATACTATATTATTTTTTTCTAAATTTCATATACTTATGTTAAGGCCATAAATGAATCACAAAGGCAGGACATCAAATAGGGCATTAAATAGTATAGGACAGGATATTGAAAAATTTGAAACATTTGAATCGTAGACGTGGGTGCAGGACAATGTCTGCCGGGTCATCTAGTATATATAAAAACAATATTAATTATTTATTTGTCTATTTATAATTCTGTTATTTTTACCTGGTGGCATATTAGGATGCTGAGGAGCTCCGAACTGTTGTGGATGTGGTGGAACCATATGTCCTCCATTTGGAGGTGGCCCTTGCGGTCCCATTCCATTTGGTCCCATTTGTTGTGGAGGTGGCCCCTGCTGTTGCAGAGGCCCTTGTTGCTGTTGTTGCTGCGGTGGTGGAGGACCTTGGCTGTAAGGACTGTGAGGAGAAGGCGGTGGTGCCGGACTTTGTGAGGGTGGTCCCATAGGACTTGGAGCCTGGTAAAAAAAAAAATATAATAAAAATTGTATGATGTACTAAGTAATGTAATGTATATATAATTAAATTATAAATGTATATGGAGCAAATTAGCCCCAAGTTAGATTGAGCATGTTATGAGTTTATATACAAAAACAAAAGTGTACAAAAAATATCGATTTCTAATAAAATCATCATTCAATTGTTAAGTATTGATTTTTAATTAAAACCACTTAATTATCAAAATAAATAACTCGAAGCATTAATACAGACATTGTAAGCACAACCATAAAATTGAACAAAGAAGATATTTATGGAAATGCTCTCCAGTATATGAAAATGTTATTTCTGTATTTTATATTAAATAAAAATGAACAAACTTCATCAATTTATCATGTATGATAATAATTTATATAATGATCATTAAGTTCATAAGATTCCTTAAAAATTGCATAAGATTATCAATTCAATTCAATTTTTATTAAATGGATTTATTAAAATTTTACAAACTCGACAGAAGTTTGGTAAAATCAACTGAACTACTTAAATACTGTTTTTTTCATAAAAGATATTAACATGATTGTCTTAATAAAAATAATTAATCAAACAAAGATTCTTCGTGCCAAGAATAAGGCAAAAATATTATTTCAAATTCTTTATTCATAAATAATATTTGTATAATGTATATTCAGATAGAAAGTTTTATTTTAAATTGGATAATTTTCTATATTAAAAATGGAATTATACTGCTGTACGAGTTTACTTTAATTTTGTAACTTATTGAAAACTTTCAACCCTTTTATTAAGAATAAAAATAGAATAGAAATTTATTAGTTCTAGTTAAAATCCATCCGTAAATATTATATGCATAAGATATTATTATTATCTAAAACTCTATATAATATCTGAACCCGGGAGGCTCATTCCAATTCCCTCAACATTGCCCGGTAAAAAAATATAAAAAATATATATTTATACATAAAAGACATTGTATATATTCTCTTGGATTAAACCAACAATAGAACATATTATTATAACAAACATTTAGCTTGAATTAGTGCTTCAAACTAAGCATAAGCTACTTAAATATGAAAATTACAATTGTCGAAGCACAAAATAGTTTTATCAATATAAAACAATTACAGCAGAACCTCGATTATTCAGACCTCGGTTATACGGATTTGCGATTATCTGGACTACCAACAGTGACTAATTTATATGCATGTACATACCTACAATTGTAATTTTTGCATGATTAATTCTGCAGTTTAGTATATGTATGTAATGTAATCTAAGAAAAAAATATATGTACATACATAACAAAGTTTCAATTTCTTAATAAACATTATTTTTGTTGATATCTATGTATGTATTTGTTATTTTTAATAAAAACACAACATTATTCTTCATACTTTCGATTATCCGGATGCCTCTATCGACAACAATTAGTCTGGTTAATTGAGGTTCTACTGTATATGTGTAAACTAACAAGTAATTCATTACCATCTAGAAATTTCCTAACCATTTATTATTTTAAGATCTTTTTATATATATAATTTATCATTTACCTGAGGAGGCGGCATAGGGCTGCTTTGGGGGCGAAGGGCTCGCCATGATTTTATTTACTTCAATTCAGCTTTATATCAATATAATCTACAAGTGGAAAAAAACATTTAGAGTTGCATCCATAATGTCATCATTAAAAAGAACTTTCAACACTACTAATAAAAACTTGATGTATATATAATTTTAGCTATTGCAACAAGTATTTTTAGCCAATATTGATTGTGCATTTAATCGAGATATATATGTATATATAAATATATATCTGCATTAGGACGCTTGTATATGTCTCCACGTAACACCTTGTATAATTATAAATACGGGTGTCTCGAGTATTAAAATACGCACAAATTTTACGCACTACGTCTACTACATTTCTTTAACGTAAATCTTAAGTTTTACTATGTAATTCATTAATTATTACCATTTTACTACACAAGAAAATAGCACTACAAGCGTAAATTTCAATACAATGGAGAAGCCGCCATTGACAAGCGATTTGTGAACAAGTTCATACTGGAGTAGAGATTCTCAAACGTTTTTCAAATATAAAAATATTATTTCAAACTTTTATAAGTGATTATTGAAAATATAAATATGAATAATTATATATTTTAATTTAATTTATAATTGAATACTTGAACAGTACAGTGTCAATATGGTTTTGGAATATCACAATAATTATTTGGGTTAAAAGTTAAGAACCACTGGGCGAAACCAATATGTCGCGCCATGTTCAAAATATCACAACAAAAAGTTTTGAAATGTTGTGTTATTAATAAATTTACATTAATATAGAATTAAAGTGTTGATTTAATTTATTGTATCATTGTTAGTGTTAATTAGTGTTATTGTGGGCTTTCTAGAATCTTTAAATAGTGCATTGCTGCAATGCTGTATGATAAACGTCATGAAGGTAAATTAACTTATTATTAAAACTTTATTTAGAACATTCAGGAAGCAAAAATAATACATGTTGCTTAATATTTATTAGTTTACAATCACAATTGTTGTGTATAATCATAATTGTTGTGTTACTATTTACTAAAATAGTATTTAAATTTGTATTCTGCTTGTAAGTTGATTGAAACATTTGGTACATTTGGTTGTAAACTTTTTAAATATTGATTGCAACTCAAAACATAATTATTACTTTTGTTATTTACCTCAATTTATGTAAAATTTGCTAAAATTATCTTATTTCTACAATTAAAATTTTGAATCAAAACTACCTAACCTTCAATTACATTTCATTGGCAACCATGCACTTGCCCACAAACGAAATGTCAAGTTATTTAATTTAAATTATATGTAAATGCATATATATTGGCTGTAATTAATCAGTTAATATTGAAAGTAAGTTAATAAATAATTATTTCACCATGAATAAAGTTCTGTTACTTGAAAATGCATGCAAAAGTGCTTTGCAAAATTTGAGGTTATCTCACAGAAAATTTTGTGATAATAAAGGTAATGACTCAAAAGAAAAATTAAAATCCTTACTACAAGCTATGTTAGACGAAGCACCCAAAAAACCTGAAATGGAACTATTCGCTAAAGCTACTCCCAGAGTATTTAAAAAGAAAGACATAAAAGAAAAAACCAAAGCCTTACCTGAAGATTTGACAACTGAAATTGTAAAGGCTACTAAAGAAGTCGCAAAGCATGTAGGTGGTGATGTACAACACACCGAATCAGAATTACTAGCAAAACTATTACTCCACAAACATCAAGAAGAAACCACAATGACAAATCTAACAGACCTAATCGTAGGCATGAAGATAGACAGAACTAAAAAGCAAGAAATCCCCACAACTCGTGCCCAATACGTCCAAAAAACCCTCAACAACAAACAAGTCAAACAATACAAAGACAAACGTTCCACCAGAAAACACACACCACGTGCAGGCAACCGTGTAGAACTATTCGGTGGTGTTGGTTTAAACATATTCCAAAAAGATGCACAATACAATTGTGAAAATTTATTATACACAACTGAAGCACTTACTCAACGGGAATTAAAACTAGCAGTGATGCAACCACCTGAAAACTATTTCCAAAAGATGATTTTGTGGACGGAGCAAGGAAAGTTGTGGAAGTTTCCTATTGATAATGAACAAGGTTTGGAGGAGCATGGTGTTTGTTTTACAGAGCATGTGTTTATGGATAAACATTTGGAGGGATGGTGTCCGGAGAAAGGACCGGTTAGACATTTTATGGAATTGGTTTGTGTCGGTTTGTCAAAGAATCCTTATTTGACAGTGCAGGAGAAGATTAATCACATCGAGTGGTTTAGGGAATACTTCAACAATAAAATGGATTTGCTGAAGGAAGTTGGAGCTTTTCCAAGTAGTAGTGTGAAACAGGAGACTATAAGAGAATTAGAATGAAATAGTAATTATTTAAAAAATAATAATTTAGTCAGTTTTACACTAAAAAGTTATTATAAAATGTAATCTTTTATATACATAATATAAAAGTATATCATACTTGTATATAATAAATATAAATTTTGAAAGTATCTATAACACAATTTTCACACAACTTACAATGTTTTCAGCATTTTCAACAAACAATTCTCGCTTGGTCTTTGTCTATTTACTCATTTGCAACCATCAGAAGTTTTACTTAAGAAAATAAAACCCCAATTAAAAATATATCCATATATGTATTTAAAATTCAGTCTTTGCATATTGAAAACGATATGGCATAATCCTACACTTAAATATATAAAATCTTACACTAAAAATATAATATTTTAATGACTATGATAAAATAAAAGTAACATGTAATAACAAATGATGCTCGACAGGTACAAATCAAAGTCTTCATTATACAATTAAACCATTAATATCGATAACAAATTTTGTACCATCATAAAAACTAATATGTATCTTTAATATAATTGCACCCGAGGAATGGCCTAATTTATAATATCATAAAAATTTACTTACACATAGAATAAAAATGTAAAATATAAATACCGATACCATACAAAAAATTCATAAAATTAATTATTAAATGTAAAAGGTTACAAAATTAATTTTTACACAAATCCAGTAGGAATAACAAATTATAAATTAGGATAAATAGTATGGTAAATCTAGTTTTACTTCAAGGGGGCTTGACCAGCTATTTTAATATATAAAATATAATATATATATATATATATATATATACAAAAGTTCACATTATAATTATCACAGCTCACAAGGAAGTTCACGTTATTATTGTTATAGCACTATTTTTTATTTATATATATTTCACTTCTTATTAAGACTAGTTCATTAATTATATTTATTAATATCGACTCGTGTTAACGTAGACTTTGAATTATTCAACATTTTATAAATATATTTTTTATATCGAGTGGCACTTTGAATTCACAGTCTTCTTTCTTATTTCTTCATGTTATGTTCAATTTATAAGTTATCTGAAAAATAAAACAAAAGGTACATATATGTAGAATTTCTAATTATGATGGTGAGAGAATGTAATGATAAATACTCAGGTAGTTGATTAAATATTTCAGGAAATGTTATAAATACTTAATTTTTGATATTCAGGAAACGTAAAACGAAATAAATTCTCAGCGCTGAGATAACTAGATTAATTTATTGATAAGATTTATGTAGATGTGATAAAGGTTGGTTATTCAGGCAAAAAGTTATTGAGCACTCAGTTAACTAATTGTTCAATACTCAGATAACTGAATAAAGAGTTGGACAAATTAATAAATAATCAAGAAAGTGCATAAATAATTTCTTGGGCAGGTCGTTAAATCCTCAAGAAATTTCTTACATACAAAAATAATTCCCTAAACAAAAATTATCATTATTGTATAAACTCAGATAATTGCAAAGTTCAAAGGAAATTTGACAAATATAAAAAATGATGCTCCAAATATTCAGGCAATTATCTAAATTTTAAGACAATTCGCTAAATACATGGATAATTCCCAAATACTTCGTCTAGTTACTCATTATCAGGCAATTCGATAAATTCTAGGCGAAATCGCTGAATGGAAGATTGCCAAATACAAAAATGACGCCCTAAATACTCAGGCAATTCGCTAAATACATGAATAATTCCCAAATAATTCGGCTAGTTACTCAGGAAATTCGCTCAATATATTAATAATTCCCAAGTTCTTCGTCTAGTTACTCAAGCAATTCACTAAATATTCAGATAATTCGCTATGTACTCTAGAAATTCACAAAAATTCCAGGTGAAATCGCTGAATGGAAGTTTGCCAAATACAAAAATGATACCCTAAATACTCAGGAAATTCGGTAAATTCTAAGTCAATTCGCTAAAAACATGAATAATTTCCAAATATTTCGTCTTGTTACTCAGGCAATTCGCTAAATTCTAAGGCAATTTGCTGTGTACTCAAGAAATAATATCCTGAATATACAGGCAATTCAGAAAATCCTCTAAATAAGATGCAACTTAATAGATAATCAGATTTATCCAGAATTAATAAATACTCAGACAATTAGATAATTAATTGGGTAGCTTGATAAGTACTTATAGGCAACCAGATAAGTAATTTGGTGGAATAAATACTCAGGTAACTGAATGAACTTGAACAACTGTATAAATAATCATTCAATCGGATAAACAGCGTAAATTCTGGAAATCTGATAAATTCTCAATATTTCATACCAGGAATGGTGGCAATATTTGCCCATCCTGAAAATGTACCTAGGCTACTGAATAAGTACCAAGTCAGCTGGATTTACTCAAGCATTTGCATTAAAATCCATACTTTTTTTTGCTACAAAAAAATCTACTCCCACTTTTTACTTCCAAATTCTGTAAACTTACTTTACAATAAAAGGGCCTCCACGTCGCCTACTTCATATCCAAACGGTAATAATAAATAATTGACCGGTCTCGTTTTTCAACTATCTCGGTCACCAATATGGACAATTATTGTCGAGGTGCTGCCAACTAGCAAACTCGCTCCAAGAGCCCCCATTCATGGAAGCGTAAGTAGCCTCTCGAACTTTGTCCGAAGCCTTCGGACTATCCGCTAATTTATTCATTGTTATCACCTGGGAAAAGAAAACAATGATGGTAATAGACATAGGATAAATGGAAACAGGAGTTTAATTACAACAATCAAGAATTCCTAATTTCATTTACTACTTACATTCTGTTGTCTCCTCTGTATCACGTAATTCCTTCCACTGTTATTGTCCCAGTACTCTCCTCCTGCACACCTGAACCTCAAACAGAATTCGACTCGGTCGCAAAAAACGACTCCAGCATCTGAATTCTTCAGATTTCTATCATCACCAAGAGTCATTCTAGCCAATTGAGTAGAGATATTAGTGTTGCCTGATTTCTCAGCTGAAGGGTTGCCTGATTTTGCAACCGTCGGCAGAAGCAACTCGAACCTAAAAGTGTCGTGCAAATGGAAAGCGGACGATGGTCCTGTCTTGGCAGATGCTGATGTGGGGACATGGCTGGAAAGAATGAATTTAATATTTTATTTGGAGAAATATAAAACTGATTTTTTGGATCGGAATTGGATGTTCTGTTATTACCTGCACGTTTCGTCTTTGTATGTTTTCCATCCGTCTGTGGTGTACCGGATGATGACATCTTTGTGGTAGTCAAGATTGCGGACTTTTACGGTACCGACGGCTAAAAAATAAATAAAACTAGTTGGTATTGGTATTTAGCCTTGAGGCAAGTTACACGAACTTCCCGATATGCGTAAATAATTGACTTAATCAATAAAAATAAATTAATTTATGAGCGATTAAAAGTATTCCGAGTAGATATATTACACATAATTAAAAACGAACAAACACGTTAACTCGGAGTATTTTCTAAAACCAAATTTTCAAAATTCAACAATTTTTATAATTGAACCAGTTACCGTAGGACTATAATAGTTTAGTATGTTCATTTAATTTATGTCTAATTTTAATTCTAACAAACGTCAAAAAAACTACTCATTTTCTCAAATTTTGATAATTTTTAAAATTATACTACTTGTTGTAAGGCCGTAATATTTCAGTATGTTCTATAAGACCATGATATATATCCCAAAAAAAAGTTCCATAAAAATCGGCTTACATTTTGTTTTCAACATTAATTACAAGAAAACGGTAGGCTTTACAGTTTTACAGTTAATTACAAGAAAACGGCTCGGTAGATTTTCACCTAAAACTAATCAGTATCATTCCCAACTAATATCTTTCGAACAGTTTTTGATTTTTTAAAATCGATTCGGTAGTTTGAACTTAAATGTGGACGAAAAGTTTAACACTCTTTTTCAAATTACAAAGAAACGGCTCGGCAGATCATCTCATAAAACTGACAAACTTTAGTCCTCATTGAGTTACATCAAATGGCTTTTAAATTTCTGAAATCGGTTCAGGCGTTTTTGAGAAAACGTCGATCAAAGGTCTAATTTTGACAAATGCCAAAAAAAGATATTAATTTTTGCAAACTTAGACGAAATTTTAAAGCTAAACAAGCTGTCGTAGAACCGTAATATTTTAGTGTGATCTACAGGACTATGGTATCTACCGTCAAAAAAAATCACGAAAATCGTCGAAATTTTTTTTTTTAACAGTTCATTACAAGAAAACGGCCCGGCCGATCTTTACCAAATACTAAGCAGCACGATTCCCAACCAATATCTATCGAATGGTTTTTGAATTTTCAAAATCGATTTGGAATTGCGGGCTAAAACGTGGACGAAAATTTTTTCACATTTCTGCTATTTACAAAGAAACGGCTTCGCCGATCGTCGCACAAAACTGACAAACGATAGTCCTCATCGAGATACATCGAATGGCTTTTAAATTTTTGAAATCGGTCCAGCCGTTTTTGAGTAAACGTCGATTTACGGCAAAAAATCTGTTCACACACATACATACTTTTCCCAAATTTGGTCTCATTCGATTCAGAATGGCTTGAAACGTCGAGAAAACATAAAATTAGCAAGTCGGATTTTTTTATGAAAACAAACTTCTTCGGGAAGTTAAAAATTAAAGTAAATAATAGAGAAATAGAGGAAGTGGAAAGCATAAAATACTTAGGACTGATAAATGAAAAACTGACATGGACAGAACATATATACAAAATAAAAAGAAAGATAGGAACATTAACATGGGCATTGAAAAGGATCCACTCTTTCGACAAAAAAATAAAATACTAATTCTTAAAACGCAAATAATACCTATAATTTTATATGGAATAACAACATGGAGCCAAACAACTAAGGCAAACCTAAATGACATACAGAGAATAATGAATAAAGTCATAAACTACAAACAAAGAAGACGATAAGAATAAAGTGAAGTAAAATAAAAAATTAAGAAAAAAGTAAAATATGATTCTGGCGAATATCAAAATCCATCCCCCTTACCTGTATTTTTGTTCCCCCCAGAACAACTCCCATCATCCTTCTTCCTGACGACAATATTCTCCAGCGCAACATTGGACTCCTCCAACTTCCTCCTGAACGCCACATAATCCCTGGCAGGTTGCTCGAACCTAGGATGCCAACTATCCCTAAAAGTCTGCGTCCTGGTCTCATTCTGATAACCGCCATCGACTTCGTCGTAGAGCCTGGACGGGATCAGATGTGACAAGAAGCGGCTGCTCCAGAACGGTGGCACTTCGGAGGGCTCCGACATGATCCTCACCTGGAGGAAAAGACTCATGGTATAATAATTGATATACTAGTGGTGTATGGCATCGTGCCTTAAGGCAAATTGCTGGAACTTCCTGTACCGTAATGAAATATTTGAGAAATTTTAAACGTTTCCAAATATATCATTACAAATACTGTAACTTTCAGTATTTTTGCTATCTTGTTATATATGAGCAAATCAAATGTAAATCATAAATCAATTTATCTTCAGAACATTAACAATCGTCATTTCATTTCGAATTTAATTAAAAAAAAATAGTTGCATAATTTGCACAAAATTGAAATAGTGCTCCCGTATAGTCACAGTCTAAACGCATTTGTAAATAATTCTGTGCGACATTTTCACTTATACTGTGCTTAGCTTGGCGGCATTTTCACATTTTTCAATAGTTTTCATAAAATTGAAAAAGTGTTCAAGTGCATAAACAGTCTAAACGCACTTGGCTAAACATTTGTACCGGAGTGACGCTTAGATTGTGCTTAGCCTGGGTCATTTTTTGAATTTTTAATCCAAAATTACAAAAATATTTTATGTAAAATAAAAAAAGATGTAATAATTTTTATCCTCAAAAGCAATTGTTTTGTCAATACAAGCAGAAATTTTTTTAGATCATTCAAATCGGACGCTTATAGTTCACTCAAAAACTGCCATTTTTTGCACATTTAGCTCTGTATCTTCAAAATGTCGGGACCTGTCTTTGCCAAAAACTAATCAGCACATCTCGCTATCAATAGGGATCGAATGTTTTTTAAACCATTGAAATCGGTTGATCCGTGCGCCCGAAAACGTGAACGAAAAAATGCGGACACACAAAATACACATACACACATCCATTTTTGCTGATGTATGCCAAAATGTTGAGAAACCTTCAAAACGTCGAGAATATATCTTTACGTTTCAATACCTTCTGAACATTATGGCATACCTTAGAAAAAATTGATGTATGTGTGTGTGCGGATACAAATTTTCGTCGACGATTTCGGGAACACGCATGAAGCGATTTGAATAATTCAAAAAAACATTCGGTTCGTATTGATAAGGAGACGTGCTGATTACTTTTTGGCGAAGGCAGGTCAAGCCGTTCAGAAGATACGGGGCAAAAGTGCCAAAAACGGTAACTCAGTTTTTAAGAGAACGGAGCGTCCGATTTGAATAATTCAAAGAACATTTTACTTGTAGTAACAAGATGAAGAAATCAGATCAGAATTTTCATTAAGGCAGGTCTAGCGGTTTCGGAGATCTAGTAAAAAAAAGTAAAAAAAATGCCATCAGATATTTTATAGAGATGTTAACAATAAGTATAAATTTTGTTTACATTCCTATCTGTTCCGTACCAATGTTTATACGTTGGACGACGACGCGGCGCTTACGCGCTTCTATATTTCTTTTCTATGCAGTTAAAGCAGTACGATTGCTTTGAAAAAAAAAGTTCAAAATTTCCAAAATATCTCAAAATAAATTTTTCTTCAAAATGTCTTTTTTTTTTTCAAAAAAAAGTAAATTTTTGGCAAAAATTTATAGTTACTCAAAAATCTAATTTTTTCATAGTAAATTTTTGTCAAAAATGTTAATCTTTTAAAAAAAAAAAAATTGGTACGGGAAGTTCCAGCAATTGGCCTTAAGACGATGCCACGCGCCCCACTAGTTTTGGATTAAAAATTCAAAAGATTACCCAGATTATGCACAGTCTAAGCGCCACTCTGGTACAAATGTTTACTCAAGTGCGTTTAGACTGTTAAGCACTTTTCCAATTTTGTGAAAACTATTGAAAAATGTGAAAATGTGAAAATGCCGCCAAGCTAAGCACAGTATAAGTGGAAATGTCGCATAGAATTATTTGCAAATGCGTTTAGACTGTGACTATACGGGAGCATTGACGATTGACGATTGTTAATGTTCTGGAGATAAATTGATTTATGATTTACATTCGATTTGCTCAGATATAACAATAAGATAGCAAAAATAATGAAAGTTAGTATATTGGTAATAATATATTTGAAAACGTTTAAAACTTCTGGAATATTTCATTACGGTACGGGAAGTTCCAGCAATTTGCCTTAAGGCACGATGCCATACACCACTAGTTTCTTAATTTGGTTGGTTGTTTTATGTTTTACCTGTGTCAGGGCTAGTCCTCTGGCGTCTGCGAAGACAACAGTTTTCCTGACTCGCACCACGCGATTGGAGTCTGGGGCGAGCAGACAGGAGCGCCTTCCCAAGCCCACGAACATATTCGTTTTCTCTCCATAATTATTATTGTTTGTGCTGGTGTTATTGTTATTTGTAGTCACATTTGCGAGACTTGCATAAGACTTCCTGGTGCTTGGGGGCGTCAAGTTCTGCGTTTTTGGGGTCTGGTTGGGGTAAAGGTGACGCATTGACGGAGATTGGGAGTTTCGGTGCTGTAGGACTTCTAGGTCACCCATGGTGGAAAAAAATACGGAATATGAGATGTAACTATTGTTTGGTATTAAAATGGGTTCAGGTGACGTCTGTGTTGCTTGTAGGTTACGTAGACGCCACGTGCAACGTTATTACTACTTCTTGATATTTGTGGTTTTTGTATTTTATTTTATCCAGTATTTATTCTGTGTATTTGAAATGCCCCAGACTTATGGTGGATGATCTCGAAATTTTTAAATTAGTCCACTGATACATTTGTATGTGCAAAGTATTTTTGTATGCAAATAAAAATCTACAAAGTTAGTGAGTCCTTTCTATTTCTATTTACTTGCTGACCTTATCATCATAAATGCATAAAATAAAATTTTGTCCTCCTCATTAAATGCATTTTAGAATTCATGTTTATTACCTCGTTTATCTTAATTATCTTACAAATATTTTACGTCCACCTTATCCTTTCCAGTTTTGTTTATTTTCTTTCCAAATGTTTCATTCAGTTTTTGTAAATATTATTGAGAAGTATGTATGATCCGGTTGTTGTCTCTTGTTTCGATCATGGACGATCTGAAATAACACAATATAAGATAAGATAAGAGAGTTAAATAAATTTGCGAGGATTGAATCATCGCAAGAGTTACAAAATATGCAGCAGATAAAAATGTATAAATAATACACTTTGTAATCGGTGTTGTTTTCGTTTTAAATATTAGGGTTGGTCAAGTTATTTGGACATTGCGGAACATCATGATTGTGGTTCTACGGGTCATTTCAGAAAATTTTGCCAAAGAAACCATAGTTGACTCAAAATTTTTATAGGCACATTCAGTCGCGTCTGAACTATGTGGCCTGGGTGCCTAACAAAAAAACAAGCCCACCCATCAAAAATTTGCTTCCGACGCCACTGGACACATTAATTATTAATTTTCAAGAAAATTGGGTTTATTCGTCTAGGATTTTCATTAAACTTTGCATGGCTATAAAGATGACAGTCAAAACAAAGTCCGTAAAATATTACAGGCCTTACGAGAATGTTATAAATGATTTTATTACAAAATCGCTTTATAAAATTTTTTTTTTCTAAAATCCATAAAAGTTTTAGTTTTATTAAAAAATTTAAACAGCAACTAGTTTATTCTTAAATTTCCTATAAAAATCGACTTCTCTCTTAATAAAATCATAATTTATGCATGTCCTCTTCAAGTTGTAAGTCAATGTCATAGAACGGTTTTTTGTTGAATTGAAATTCAACCTTTCTCAAAGTTAATTAGACAGGTATGGAGATATTTCTCATATGTAAATATATATATATATATATATATATATATAATTATATACAATAAGTGAGAAATTTCAAGTTCGTTAGTGTCTTGCTAATAACTTATTGAGCTGCTAAAATATAGTACAAGGCAAACACTGTTCATTATATTATTTATTTATTTTATTATTAACACTAAGCTGCATTTTTTTTATTTAGTCATCGCTAAATCAATTGTCATCTTATACGGAACTTTGAGAAATATTATTGAAACTTTCAGAAAACATGATTCAAAAATATTAATATGAAAAAATAACATAGGCAACGTCACACTAAAAAAAACAGTCATTTTATTTTAAACTGCCATTCGTAACAAATAGACATAAAATGGCGTCATAGTAATAAAAATATGATTTTTATACAAATTATATGTGATTCCTTTACAAAAATTGTTAATGATGTTATTTTATTAATTTTTACTAATTTTAAGGCGCTGTATAAATTAAATTATAAAATTTATATTGATCCAAAATAATTTTGATTATTACTCGTACAAAAATTAATTTATAATCTTCAGATTTTTATTATTAGATGAGAAATCAATTTTAATAAAAAAAGTTGCAATTTGCTCAAAAATATGCGAACCGTGTGTAAATATATATATTTATGTTCTACACATGCTAAAATATTTTCAATAGAATTGCAATTTTCTTATCTAAAGTTCACCAATTTTTCATGTTCTTGTTTTTATCACTTAAAACAAGATAAGATTTCAATATACTGCATTCATATCAATATAATAATTATATTAAAATGATTAAATTATTGATAAAAGGAATTTTAAATGATTGCAAATGGTGATTAGTATATTATTTATTTGACGCAATTATTTCTTAAATAATATTAAATTTAGAGTAACGTTTTATTTGGAAAGAAAGCGGTCAAAATAAAAGTGTAAACCTAACCTTAATTTTATACAAAAAAAAGCGTAATTCAAGTGTTTTACTACATAAAAATACTAATTATTAATTAAAAAACAATTTCAATCTTTAAATAACTTTGACATAAAAATTGAGGCCATTGTGGTAAAACATTTGTAATTTATTTAGATCATATTATTATTAATATAACGCCATTTTATAATACTGTTTTAAAACAAAATGGCTGCGTTCTTTAGTGTTGCCACATTAACAACATGAAGTTGTATAAAATTGATTGCTCAATTAAAGTACAAAAGGAATAAAAAAAATACTTTAAATTTTGAGTTGTGTATCTTCAATATTGATAATTTTAAGAACAGAACTTCATGATATCAAATATTTTTGCCTGTCATATAAAAAATACAACGTAAATATCGTAACTGGTTAATGAGCAAACTCTAAATTATCGTTTAACGTGTCAAACACTTATTATTAAAACATACACCAACTAAATCAACTTTTATCCTCCCATTCAAATTATTTATTATCAACCCATTAATTTTTACGATTAATGTCTCAAAATTCTTCAGTCGCGACATCGAAACTGGACTCTTTGATAAACAAAATGTGAAGCAAAAAATGCAGTAAACAAATAAATATGCAACTTGACAGATGCCAATAAACAATAACAATTTTTTTGCAGATTTTGCAACATCATTATCGCATCGAGTGAATTAAACGAAGACACAATAAACCGTCGAGAGGTTATCAATTTATTAAAAATATTGTAATTAATCTTTGTGAAAAACCGTGACATCAAAACCGTAACAATTGTTATGAAGAATGCACATATGAAGTTTAAATTTTAAATAAAACGCAACATTATTATTAATTATTATTGACGCTATTTTATAAATTTGTTTCAAAACAAAATGGCTGCTCGTTTTAGGGTTGCTGCATGAACAACGTGAAGTTGTATAGGATTGATTTGAAATTTGTCAACTCAAACAAAGTAGAAGATTTATAGGAACGACATTGTTTAAATTTATGAGATGTATGTAAAGAATGCACATATAAAGTTTAAATTTTCTTCAAAATATCATATTTTAATTAAAATAACGATATTTCATAAATTCGTTTTAAATGGCAGTTCAAAACAAAATGGCTGCTTTTTTTAGTGTTACCACATTAACAATGTGAAGTTATCAATGAAGATAGATAATAAAATCTTTAATATTTGAGTTATGCATCATTAAAATTAATAATTTTAAAGACACAATACTTCATGTTATTAAGAATATCTGTAAAAGGAGAATTAGGAGAGAAATTGCAAAAAAGTATTATTAAAATGTGATGTTCTCCTGACCTGCCTTCAAACATTGCACGAATTTCTACATACATTCCACCTCAAGTTATATCATTATTATTATTTCGGGTCAATAAATCCACAACATCTTAATCATTCACAAAATTATTTAAGCGTGACAAAAAACACACTTGACAATCTTTATCGTTGAATAAAATACATAAAAAATATATTTTTTGCAAATAATTGGAGGCGCTTCATTTAACTCAATCGATAAGATAAACAATGTCATCCGATTGCAAATAATGAAGAACTTCTTTACGTTGTAAACAAAACGAAAATATGTTAAATAAAAAAAAGTGTCGTCTCGTCTTGTGTCTTAATTATCAAAATGAGACCGGGAATGCAAATATTTATGCAAATTTGAACTGTTTGAATTTGCACGTTGGTAAATTTTAATTATTTTGACGTCTGCGTTAAAATTTTGCAGACTTATGTCGAATTAACTCGTTCTATTAAATTACAGTAAGATGAGAATGCATTTTTTATTTACGTCGTATTTTTGTAAAAATAATTCATGAGTGATATAATTTATGTATTAACATATTTATATTATTATCAAGGCTACACTTATTAATTTCCCATAGGGTAGTTATAGTAATGGGCCGAAAATCGATAATGAAAATTTTTGATTTTGAGTAAACTAAGCATCCGATTTGAATGATTCAAAAAAATTTCTGATTGTTTTGATAAAATAATTGCTTCTGGAAACAAAAAATTTCATTTTTTTCCTAATTTTTTTTTCTCAATTTTTTTTTGTGTATCGACAATAATTCATATTCTAATTTTAATTCTGGCTACAGTTCTAAAGCTCACTTATATACTTTAAATAAATAATTTCTACTTTGTAATTCAGTTTATATAACTCTTATAAATATTAGATAATGTTACAGTATTTATAATAATCTATTTGAAAACATTTATTATTCCTCGAACATTTCGTTACGGTACAGGAAGTTCCAGCAATTTGCCTTAAGACACGATGCCATTCACTACTAGTTTATAACTTTTATCATATTTTCATTAGTATAACGCCATTTTATAGATTCGTTTCAAAACAAAATGGCTGCCCTTTTTAGTGGCTGTCATATTAACGACGTGAAGTTGTATAATATTGATAATATAATATATTAATAATTAATATTGATAATATAATATATTAATAATTAATATTGATTTCTTAAATATTAATAATTTTAATAACAAAACGTTATAATATTTAGAAGATATAAAAAAGAGATATTCAAATTATTTTGAAGCCAACTTATTTTTAAAAAAAAGTATAAATTAAAATAATTGGTACTTCGCACTTATAAATAAAATATGAGTGAAGTCAGACTAATATTAATTTGATATTAATGCTATTTGGAGGTTATAGTTTTCAGGAGTTGACAGTATCAAAAATGTAAATAATCGCTTGTATACACAGCATAAGTATAACTTTGACAGTTTTTTTGAATACTAACACATTGCGATCAAGAAAATCAACATCAAACAAGTAAGATTTATCAAAATAAAATGGGTGCACCGAGAATAGCTACCTATAGCTTATCAGAAAGATGTGTTACTTTGATAACAGAACATAGTTATACTATCCAATAATAGGCCTATTAATGGGCCATTTGTCTTCTTATGAATCAGTAGTAAAAACTGTCAAAAATCTATGTCAGGCGTTTCACACATAAAATCTAACCTACAAAACACAAATTCTTCAAATAACAATTTTATCATAAATGCATTTGTCTGATGTCTCTTTGATAACATATACGTGAAATTAGGTTTTATGTGTAAGATGCCTGATGGCACAGAAAATACATAGCTTTTTGGTCATAGGTATTTTTACCAATTCATACGAAGATAGATTCATAACATAGTATTATCATAATATTTCTATTTTATTTAAGAATTGGTCTCTAAATATAGTTCTTTCCCAACTTTCCTGTTTATAATAATACAGGGGTGTCCATTAATCACGCGATCGACTTTTTAAGGATTTTTGGACGCCCCCTAAAATGGAGTTCCC